ATATTCGTCAATTATCATTTTTGTTTTTGTTTTCATGGAGATTTTAAGAACTATTAATATCAAAAACTCCCTATTAGATAGCCATTTTGAGTGAAGTAGGCAATTAAGCATAATAGCTCATATTGCATTAAATGATTATAAAAAATTTTTGATTTAAAATTCTAAGAAATTAATTTTTGTTGTGTTTTATAGATAACTGATCTTTCGGTTTTTACTAACTTTTGCAACGTATAATTTTCTGTGACTAGATGCTCTTAACTAAATTTCTTTTTAGGAGCTATACAAAGGCAACTAAAAATCAATCCATTTATGGCTAAAGAGGAGTGATCGAATGCGCTACAAAGAAAATACCTCTTAGTGACCTGTGATTAATAGATATTTTATCAATAAATATTTTAATTCTATTTTTTGCATTATTTATAATCTGCAAGGTTGTTCTACTTTTTAATTACCAAATAAAGTCCTACGTTCATAAGACATATTAAAGACGTCTTATTTAGGGCTTCACAAGACCATTATAAGCTATTAATAAGTCGTCTTAAAGACGTCTTATTTATGGCTTATTTAAAGCTTCACAAGACCATTATAAGCCATTAATAAGACGTCTTAAAGACATCTTATTTATGGCTTATTTAATGCTTTACAAGACCATTATAAGCTATTAATAAGTCGTCTTAAAGACGTCTTATCTTAAAAACGTCTTATTTGTGGCTTATTTTAAGCTCTACAGACCAATATAAGCCATTAATAAAACGTCTTAAAGACGTCCCCTTTTGTAACATCAGACGTCTTCTAAGACGTCTTTCAGGAAATACCAGACGTCTCTAATGTCTTATGCGATTCAGTGCTATCTGGGATTCAGGTATTTGATGACCTCAATGCCGTATTAACCGAAGTCGTTGCCGCTGGCGAACTGTTTATGTTGAGGCAGTATGGTGCAGGAAGGGAACATCGCAAGTTGGACTCTCTGCGCATACGAACTTTGTACGGGCCGTCTCAAAAAATTCATTCAATTTAGCGGCGCTGCCACCAACATCAGATACGTGTCATCATTAATTGCGTACTTGTCAAGTACAGAGCTGGCGGGTAGTTCAGAAACCTCCAGAAGATCATGATGGATGGCGAAGAATAACTACAGGACTGGACACAGTACGGATGGCAAAGGAACCAGCTCCAGATGTTTTACTTAAGAGGAAACCGGACCTCTCGCGAAAGCAAAAATGGTTTAACGATTTTCTTACATAAAATTGTATTTATATGCGTGCCATTGGGAATACTTCGTGATATTGTGTGTCTTGACAATATTGAGAGCTTTAAATTTGTGCAACGATAAGGTAGCACTCTACAGAGACGTTTAAGAAAAAAAGGTGGGAAAGCATTCCATTTAAAAACTACTAGGTATTTATTAAAACAAAAAGCAGTAAATTTTTATAGATTTAATACAGAATGGCGCGTAAATGTTCTTTTAAATTCTTTTTAAAATTTTTCAAAATAATTACTTACCTAGCGAAGGTTTACAAAAAATTCAAGGTTTCTCCACCCTAAGTTTTGTTATTAGTATTTCCTAAAAATTTCATAAAAATCGGACTAATAATAAAGGCTCAGAATGAATTATAAAGTTTCGAGATGTCCGGTTAGCTCTTAAGAGCATCTCGTGCAGATGCAAGAAAGGTTGTGGATCTGCTTGCGGTTGCCGTAAAATGTTCGATTCTGTGTTTACACTGTACTGGGATGTCCTCCGAAAACATTCCGGACCAGATGGCGTTAGACGACGACAATGCAGAAGATACCGAAAACGTTCACGATCAGTTACAGGACGATGAAGACCAAACATACAACGCCGAGTTTGACGAATAAACCCGAAAGTCGACTGTGGATTAGGCCTCTTGTGAATACCACGTTAAAAAAAACGCGCCGATCAACTCTACCTCAAGGGTGGTGTGGAAAAGAGTTGAAAATGATACTTTCTTGTATCATGTATGCACAAAAAGAGTAAATTTGACGCCTAGGTAAACAATAATTAGGAAATATTGACCGTAGATACTAATAATTACAAAATGTTTATATATGACCAAATTTATCAAATCGGGCATCTGCAGACTCAGAAATCATTACTCTTTTAGAAAAAAAATATTACATAATTGTTTCATAGCAATCTTCGTCTTAATCCGCGCTGAAATTCTCACATTGCAAATCAACCCCCTACTTTGGCGCGTCGTAGAGCGGAAACTATTGACCGCAGACAAAAAAATTTACACCATTTTGTCCTGTACACATTTCATTTGAACTTTTTTTCTATAGCAATTACCATAACGGCGCTATTTCACGAAAAGCGTCGCGATGCAGTTTTCATCCCTACACCCCTCGAGTGGCAACCCCCCGAGGTCGCAAACTTAGGTGTAGTATCAGGGGACCCATGTCTACCATCCCACCAAATTTCATTTCTTTCCGACCTTTTGCGAATAGAAACCATCCACCGCTTGGACTATTACTACAAAAACAAGATAACTAACAATTTTAGAGTTTCGAGAAAACGCTGAACAAAAAAAATCAGTAAAAGCTTCAAACTGTTTAATAAATAATAACTCCAATGGAAAAAGGTATTCAAAACATAATTAGTCTTCACAAGGTATAAACTAAGAATCTATTGGTTTTTAAGGATAGCTGTATCGTGAAAAGAAAGGGCGACGTAATCACCTTGTCGATTTCGGACCAATCAAGAAGGGTCAGAGACGGAACTAGGCAAAATAAAACAAATGGTTTGAGCAAAATGTTGAAGTATTTCAACAAAATAAGTGTTCTGGTCTTTATCTCGATTTGACAGAAACACTATGGGCAACAGAACGCAATTTTATGATTATATTTCGGTATAAAGGTCACTCATCTTGTTTATGCATTTTGTGATTGTATTAATATGAAGTTAGTTTTTATTGGCCATCTGTTTGTCATGAATATAGACTTCGTTCACACTCTACTTGCTTGAGCTATTTTGGAGACGAAAGTGTACTTAACTCGAAAATGCTGAAAGTGGAGCTATCTTGTTTTTGCAATAACCCCATGCCAAACGTTTATTTAAAATTAGCGTGATATTTAGCGTAGCGACCGATGAACGTTTTTGGGCTTTTTGCTCAAGATTTTATAAACAGAAACCAATATTTTTAAGAAGTACCTTCTTAATAATAGTTTCGGGCCGCAAAAAAGATCTTGGAGGGCCACATGCGGCCCGCGAGCCGCAAGTTAAGTATGGCTGCTCTAAACCGTTAAAAAACCTGTAATAACTAGACAGGAAAGTCATGTGGATCGTTACTATCCTATATAATATTTATTTATATTCTTTATTTTAATTGTATCCAAATAGGTTATTCGCGTCAAAATTGTTTTCACTTTACTCTTTATAAGTATATATTTGATGAACCTATTCCTAAACCTTATGACCCGCCTCTGGTTTTGCTTTTTCCTTTTTTATCATTTTATCCAAAATCGTGTCTTCGAATATTTGATGGAAATAGCCGAAGGACAGTACGAGTTTTGCGACAATCGGTACCACATCGAATACAAAAATATCACCAATTGTGTTGGTGGCACGAGATTTTTCCTATTTTCCCAAGAATCCGAACTATACCTTGGTAAGTTATTGAAATATTAGTTTTAATAATACGATTTACATACAACAACAAAAAACAATTAATTATGGCGTTTAATTGAAAATTGTCGAAATACACACAGTAGCCTTTATTATAATAATTTTTTGTCAAATCCAAAACAGTCCGTTCACCCAGTGTTCCTTCTGTGGGTGTTTTTGATTTTCCCTCATATATTTTAAAATTCATGACATATCCGGTTTTCGAATCTGCCAAAACCAAACTTTGAAGCCTCTTTTTATATGCTTCATAGGCATGTACTGTTTTAGTGTGGACCTGCCTTTAAATTTTACCATACTCTCATCTACACAAATATTTCGTGCAGGTATATATAATTCCGAAAATGTTTTTGTCAGATGGTCGATCAGTGGTCTCAGCTTATACAGTCTATCAAATGCTGGATCAGTCTTATCGGGTATTTTTGTATTATCATTGAGATGAATGAATCTTAAAATTTTTAAAAACCTTTTTTGGGTCATTGCAGAGGCAATTTTATGAACATGAAAGTTTTGGTTGGAGGACCAATAAAGTTTAATGGCAGGCAATTCGTGAAACCCCATGAAAATCAAAATTCCAAAGAAGCAATTTAGTTCTCTGACTATAAGATTTAGTTCAGTACCATTCTGTGATGCATAACGATTCGATTCCAGCACAATTATTTCTAATATAAAAAGCAGTCCACTCAATTTTTTACTTGGTACCGAACCATCATGTGTTGGACACATCAGATTTTTAGATTAGATAAAAGAATCTAGTTATTCTGATTTAAAAGTATTAGATATAATAAAGAAAATTCAGCTCCAGAAAACGTTATATGTCCAAAGCATTTTGAGAAATATTGTTTTGAATTAGTCAATTATTATAAAACTATGCTTACACATTTTATAATGTTCTTCCTACTTTGTTTTTGACAAGTAATAAAAAAAATAACATTACAGAAGGGAAACTTTACCAAAGAACATATTAAACTTTTAGTATACTTTTTAAAACTTGGGCGGAGTTTAAGGAATTGTAGTTATGTGAGAAATATATGAGGGGTAAACCGTTGAGGAAATATAGTATAAAACACGTGGGAAGTACATAGGAAGTGTGAAAAAAGTACAGGAAGTTCGAAAGAAGTACAAGAAGTATAAAGGAAGTACGGTAAGTTCGAAGTATAGGAAGTCTGAAGAAAGAACGAAGGCAGTACAGGAAATGTATAAGAAGTACGGGAAGTATTAAATTTTTGGGAAGCAGTGTACATACAACATTTTGGTCCGCGTTTTAGCCCTCGGGAATATGGGTTAAATTAATCATAAATATTTAGCCCTCGGGAATATGGGTTAAATTAATCATAAATATTTTTTTTTTAATAATTACCTTTGATCGAGTTCGATATTTTTACTGGTAGACGCTGAATCAGACATTACTAACACTTGTTCAACAACCCACACATGCTGATATTTATAATGTACAAAGGTTAAGCTTGCAACGCCCATTTGAAATAATATTCCTGCGTCCATAAGATGCTTTATTATGCTCGTCAACGAACAGTTCGCTTCTCTAGATAAAAATATTTCCTAAAAATTAACAAAATTAAAGTGTTTTTTTCTACGTTCACTTTTTTTTATTAATAGAAAAACATAATGTTTGATGTTATTTTTAATATAACGAAAAAATACTGCATTACTATAACAATTTAACAATCTTTTATTTATTGATCGCATTTAGAATGCTTAATTTACACTTGTAAAGTTAATTGTCAATAGTTACCTTTAATTCTTGTGCAGACGCACCAAGAATACCTTTAGCAGCAGCAAATTGAATAATTTCAGTTGCCAGTGCGATATCTTCGTCTCTGCCACAATTATTTCTTATTAGTTCCTCAAAATTCGGCAACTTTCGAAAGTCTTTAGCAGTAACATCGCTAGAAAAATATTTATTGTGTAAATAAAACTATATCAATTTGTTGTCTCGTTAAAAAGTTAAAAATGATTTAGAACAATTAATTATTAATTGGATGAAATGCAGGAATAATTAATAGGAATAATGTGTTATAAAAAAGTCATGTCCGTGATAACTATGCACGACTTTGAATAAAATCAAAACTAACACTTAAAAGAAAGAATAGAAATCTTAACTCTACAAGGTGAAAGCATAAATAAAAAGCAATTAATAGATAAATTGGTTAATGAAATTAAAATTCCTAAAGTAATCAACCTTATTTTTGTTAAAACTGTAAATGCACAGTCTTTTATTGATTTGACTTTAAATGAACCAATGTGCAGTAGAAACCAAGATTCTGTTTATGAGACTACTAGATCCGACATCAACAAAAATGTAAGTGCAGAGGATGAAGGCCAAAATTTTTTTTTCTACTACCGTGCGTAAAGTACGTATTTTACGCACTCCACGAAGTGTGTAAAGTTGTACTTTTTTTCACTAGTGCGTAAAGTAAAACTCTTTACGCACTAGTTTTTATTATATCTGTCATAATCGATATGGATTCAATTTATCTAGCGATAGCGAATTTGATAATACTCCCCCAGATATCTTATGCAGTGCACAAAAGGCCACTGAAAATTTATTGCCAGAAAAATCTGCATATATTTATCAGCAAAAATACAATGCATTTATAGAATGGTGTAGGAAGAATAAGGTGACAAAATATTCGGAAAACGTTATTTTAGCATATTTCTCTGATGAATTGAAGAATTGCAAAGCTTTTACCCTATGGTCGATTTATTATATGCTTAAAAGCACCTTAAAATATAAAAACAACGTTGATATTTCGAAATTCAACAAGTTAATAGCGTTTCTCAAACAAAAAAATAAAGGTTATAAACCAAAAAATCCAAAATTTTTGAACGAGAACTAATAAATTTTCTGTTGAAAGCTCCAGATTCCAAGTTTTTAATGATCAAAGTAAGTAAATGCCTCAGTAAATGCTTGAATGCTCAGTATAAAATTAAAATATTCTGTAAAGTTTTGCAACGAGATGTGTGTTCGCATGGTGTGTTGCCTAACAAAATCAGTTGCTGTCCTAACAGGCCACCGATGTTGTTAGGCAGCACATTATACCTAAAACTTTTATATTTTTTACAATAGCATTTATTTGGAGTTTTACATGCGCAACGTCAAGATATTTCCTAATGTTTAATAAATTATTTGTAACATTACAATATGTTATTTTTTAGGTAGCTTTTATAATTGGAATTGCGGGAGCTTGTCGCCGGGAAGAATTATGTAAAATGACAATTAACGATGTGGAAGATAAACAAACAGTGTATATTGTCAAAGTATCAGAAACCAAAAATTGAATAGAACGCATTTTTACGATTTTAAATCCAAATAATTCTGCAGTTGATTATTTATCTTTCATAAAAAAATATAACTCATTAAGACCATCAAATGGAAAATATTCTAAACAGCCTGTAGGGATAAATACTTTCGGTAAAATGCCAAGTGTTATAGCAACGTATCTAAACTTGCCCAATCCAACGGCTTTTACAGGACACTGCTTTAGGAGGTCTTCAGCCACTATGCTGGCAAATTCTGGAGGAGACCTTCTAACGGTCAAAAAACATGGAGGATGGAAATCATCTGCTGTTGCAGAAGGCTACGTAGACAGCACAATAACACAAAAAAACAAAATTTCTAATAAAATTTTGATGGATGACAGTATGCCATCCACTTCCAAACAAAGCTACAATTTTACCGTTGACAACTCTAATGAAGAATTAGTGGAACCACTCGACAGTGAAACTAGAGTTACACAAAATATTTCAACCTCTTTACTTGAAAAGGCCAAATCCATACCACTCGAAGCTCAAAATAGGGTTACAGAAGTAATATCACAACATTTTTCAAACTCTGTGCTGGAAAAGGCCAAAACCTTAAGTTTTGGTAATTGCAATAATTGCACATTCAATATTAATATTCATAAGAGTTAAAAACCTATTTTTTTAAATATTTCTTCATTTGTTAGTCATTTTGTTCTGTAAGAATTATAGATTTGTAAAGTTCCAATAAATTTATTTTTGTTGCTGTGTACAATTTTTGGCACATTTTACTTTTTTTCACTAGTGCGTAAAGTAAAGTACTTTTTTTCACTAGTGAAAAAAAGTAACTTTTATATTTCTAATATTAGTGGATTATGTGTATGGTAGTAGAAAAAATATTGTATGCCACTCGTGTGTAAAGGGTAACTTTACACACTTGTTGCATAAATAACTATTTTGGTCAACAGTCAACAAATTCAAACCATTAGATTAATCAATTTAAATATCAGTATTGTTCATGTTCATGTTTAGTGAATATTTGAATTCTCAGTGTCTATCTAATAAAATTGAAATATTTGATTTTTTTATCGGAATACCAATTTGATGTTGTCTGTGTTTCTGAGCATTGGCAGAGAGAAGAAAATCTGACAAATATTAACTTGGGGGTAGGGGGAGGGGGGTATTGTCTAGCAATTTTTTTCTGTAGAAAGTATAAAACAAATGAAAATTTGGTAAATGTCCTGTATGCAAAAAAAGGTAGATATAAAAAATTGGGACAAGTATCACTGAAAAGAGACGAAAATTTCCTATAATATAACGTATTTTAAAGATCGATTTTGACAGACATCTAGTTTTAATTTAAGGGAGAGACTTAAAAAAAGTTAAAATTTAGTAAAATGTCCAGTATTCAAAAACTGATAGATATAAAAAATGAAGACAAGTATCATTGAAAAGAGACGAAAATTTCCTATATGTATTTTAAAGATTGATATAGAAAGACATATAGTTTTAATTTAAGGAAGAGACTTAAAAAACAAGTGATCATTCAGTAAAATGCCTAGTATGCAAAAAGTGATAAAGATAAAAAAATTGAGACAAGTGCCATTGAAAAGAGACGAAAATTTCCTACAATATAAAGTATTTTAAAGATCGATTTTGAAAGATATCCAGTTTTAATTTAAGGGAGAGACTTTAAAAACAACTGAAAATTTAGTTAAATGCCCAGTATGCAAAAAAAAGAAGATACAAAATTGAGACAAGTATCATTGAAAAGAAACCAAACCATGTTCTATATTATAAAGAGTTTTAAAGATCGATTTAGAAAGACATTTTGTTTTAATTTAAGAGAGCGACTTAAAACAAATGAATATTTAGTAAAATGCTCAATATGCAAAAACGGGTGAAGATAAAAAACTGAGACAAGTATCTATGAAAAGAAGACAAGTATCTATGAAAAGAGACGAAAATGTCCTCTAACATAAGGTATTTTAACGATGGAGTTTGACAGACATCTTTTTTTAAGTTAAGAAAGAGACTTAAAAATAAAGTACCCTACAAAAACAACACTAGTAGCCTTTTCAAGGAAAAGAAAACTTAATCTCAAAACCGTTAAATTAGACGGGATAGATATAGAATGGAAAAATGAAGTCAAATATCTAGGCCTAACCCTGGACAACAAACTTCTCTGGAACACACATGAGAAGGAAGTAGTAAATAAGGCCACAAAAGCCCTAATGGTATGCAGAAACATGGCGGGTAAACGATGGGGATGTAACCCAAACATACTGCGATGGATGTATACTGCAATAGTGAGACCAATCATCACTTACGGGGCTATAGCCTGGAGTAACAGAACTAGTTTAGTTACTACGAGAGCTAATATCTCAAAAGTACAAAGACTAGCCTGTGTTTGCATTACTGGTGCAATGAGAACCTGTCCTACGGCCGCAATGGAGGTGATCTTAAACCTCACCCCTCTACATTTGATGATAGAGAATGTGGCAAAAAGGACACGATATAGAATGATCAGGAGCGGAGTAATCAGACGAAAGTCTACTTGCTTCAGGACTAAAGATACCTGGGACATGCCCCAGGATGAAATGCAAAAGAAGTACAGTTTTGTGAAAAACTTCAAAACCACAGAGCTGGGCTGCAAGAAAGAATGGAGCCAAGAATCCATCGCGCTTGCAACCGAAAGACGTGCTATTCAGTGGTACACGGACGGTTCCAAAACCATAGAAGGAACTGGAATAGGAGTGTATGGGCCGAGAACCAAGCACTCCGAAAGCTTGGGAAAATACCCAAGCATCTTCCAGGCGGAAATTCACGCCATCGAGAAGTGTATCCAGTTTAACATCGAGAGAAACTATCATAGACAAGAGATTATCATCATGTCCGATAGTCAAGCAGCCATCAAAGCGCTGAGTTCTTATGCAATCAGCTCAAAAATGGTATGGAGATGCCTAGAACAATTGAATGAGCTAGGCGAGAAAAATAGAGTTACTCTCACTTGGGTCCCGGGACATAACGGGGTACAGGGTAACGAGATTTCAGATAGTCTTGCAAGGAAAGGGGCTCAAACACCCTTTGTAGGACCTGAGCCGTTCTGCGGTATCAGTAGTAACATAATATTAGAAGAGATTAAAAAAGAATTGGGTAGTAGAAGAACCGATAATTGGAACAATCTCTTGGGGCTGAGACAGGCCAAGATACTTCTGGGTGAATATAACCAAAAAAGATCGGAAGCCTGCATCTGCCTGAGCAAGAACAGGCTACGTATTGTAACAGGGATCCTTACCGGGCACTGCCGACTAAAAGGACACCTAAGTAAACTGAGAGTAGTAGAGGATAGTGAGTGCAGATTCTGTGAGGAGGAGGACGAAACCTCCATTCACATCCTAACTGAATGTGTAGCACTCCAGAATCCAAGGGCACTATATCTAGGAGGATATCAAATAGAAGAGGGAGACTTACCTAACTTGAAGCCACTTCAAATCCCACACTTCCTTGAGAAAATAGGATTGGAAGGGTCGCTATAGGCATTGAGACATTTCCTTAGTGCAGTGGCGACAGAAGGGGGCACAATAGATCTTTTAGGTCGCAGTGTATTAACACCCCATTATCAACATAACATAACATAAAAATAAAGTAAAAATTTAGTAAAATGCCCAGTATGCAAAAACTGATAGAGATAAAAAATTGGAACAAGTAACATTAAAAAGAGACTACAATTTCCTGTAATATAAAGTATTATAAAGATCGACTTTGACAGACATCTAGTTTCAATGTAAGGGAAAGACTTAAAAACAAGTGAAAATTTAGTAAAATTTCCAGTATGCAAAAACGGATAGAAATAAAAAATTGAGACAAAAGTATAATCGAAAAAAGTGTTTTGGTAAAACATTACTGACATCTAGGCAACAATTATTACTTTCTTGTATTTTTAGTTGCATATGATTAACTTCATTGTTTTATTGGGAAGGTGGTGTAGCGGTCTAACGCGCTTATATTCATTTATAGGCAAGTTTATGAGTCAGAGACTGCTGGGCTTCGAATCCCAGACCGGACCATGTGGATTTTTAATTAAATTGCATGGTTCGGTTTAGGATTTGATGTGTGCCGTATTAATAGAAATTCAATTTCTGTTGATATGACATGCAGATTATAAAATCGCCATGCATTACCGTCTCGATGATGGTGGGTGAGGTTTTCCTCACTTGTAAGTTAAATGGCACCATCAATCATCTCTAAGTCGCCCCGGAGCGCCACGGCAAATAATAATAATAATAATAGCCGTCCCTTTCCCCGCACAAGCTCTGCTTTTGGGGTTAAAATTCACTCGTATTATTATTATTGACAAATAGAAAACCATATTCATTTATTCTCAACGACTTATTGTAGTGTGTTTATAGTGCTTGTTACAAGTTATTTAGATTTTAAGAAAGTAGGTCATTTTGTCGTGTATTGTATTTTAATTATTTTGTACAAATTTAGAATGGAAAATAAGGACCAAAACAACATTATTACTAGGTTGTAAGTTTAATCAAATTCTATTTTTATAAGTCAACCTGCTCTTCTTTGATCTAAAATTTTAATAATAATGTATATTAATGATTTTAAAACCAAAAAAGGTTTATTTTTATTTGTTTTATGTTCACAACTCGTGACACATAATAAATGTCTAGTATACAAAAACGAATAAAGATAAAAAAATTAAAACAAGTACCATTGAAGAAAGACGCAATTTTTCTACAATATAAAGAATTTCAAAGATCACTTTAGACAGACATCTATTTTTACAAACCTTACAAATCAAGCAACTCTATATAAATCTAATTCTAAATGCTTTCACTTACTTTTCAATTTTATCCCACATTTTTCTGTTCCTCATAGAAGCGTCGATGTATTGAATCATATAGTGATCTTGTAGTTGATCTAAATCGTTTATAATTATGTTGTCCAACTTAACGTATTCCGTAATAAAATGACTCTTTAAATTTTGCAAAGTAGTCGTGTCCATCTTTAAATCGTTGAAACTTTTCGTGAGCAAATCGCTTAGTTCGGTGATGTGCGGAATAGTTCGTTCTTCGTCTTTTATATTCGTCTTTAACATACCTAAATAGAAAAAAAAAAAGAGTGGATAAAACTATTTGACATAATTATTATACGATGGTTAAAGTATAGATCTACGAAATCACTGCATCAAAATTAAAAATTCGTTTTAAAAATCCCAAAAAACGATTCACATTGTTTAATCACAAATACCTATCTTCACATATTTCGACCAGATCTGGCAACGCCGACAACTATTGGCAGCTTGATGTGCGCGATCAACAGAACTCGAACATTCTCTCATGGACACCGAAGAGATTCACAACAAATTTTTCATGTTATAGTTTATCAACTAAGAATATTAACAAAAACAATAACTTTCAATGTATTAATGTAGTGTTTATTTAATAATAAAAATACACCATCAACAATCTATTTTCACATATAAAATGAATAAAAATATTTACCTTCCTTGATTTCATCCAAAGTAGGAATCTGGCTCAAATTTCTTTCAACCGAACCAATTCCTCTTAACCCAGTGCCACATTCATCATTATCAACTTCGTTTCTAATATTTTCTTGATTTTCCGATTCATTCCTATGTAATTCTGAACGTTCAATCATAAATTCAGGACTGGGGCTTCTTCGTTCACTTTCCGCTGTCATGCAATCGGTTATCCAAGTTTTTAAACGATTGATGGTTTCCGCATTGTTACCATCGCTTGTCAAGTCAATAGGAATGTCTTGATTGTCAGTCGGGGCTGTTGTAATTTGTTCATAAATATCAGATACTTCTTTGTCTTCTTCTAGTAAGATTAGGTCTTGGTCCTGAGATTTTGTTCTGAAAATTAGTTAAATTTTGTGAAAATGAAATAAAAATGTAAGTTTTCGAAAATTTAAACGTATCACGAACCGCTATTCTGTCAAAGTGGCTAAGAAAAATTGATACATTTCAGTGTATTGCCCCACGGCTTTCAGGCCTCACTACAGCTATTGTGTATCCACCTAAATCGTCGAAAGATTCCTCTCGTATATTGTTAACCAACCGTCAACGAGCACAACTCTTAAGGTGACCACAAAGAAATTTTCAAATCCAAATACGAGTTGTAAAGTATCAATAAATATTAATCAAACTCTGCACTACATCCATGATCAGTCAAAATTAAATAATAACGATAAAATTATGTGCGCGGATTGTACATTTAATTGTGTCGCCGACTGTTCGTCTGGCCCGAGCGGGAAGTACGATGACGTAAGATTTCAGTAAGGAGTGCGGTGAGAGGGGTGGACAACAGATCACCTGAGGTAATCGGGATATGTAGGTGGCAGTGGCCGATGAACTGTGACACGGTTAATATACATAGGTCACACATAGTCCACAGTTTAACTATTTTTTTGTTTTTCTTTTTGTTGTGTTCTACAATATTGTAAATAAACTTCAACGTTTATTTTTTGTTTGATTGGGTAACCTTCTTCATCTACGAACCCCCTGAAGATTAGCATATCTCGGTGCTCTATAATGTCCAAGAATCATTGAAAAGGATCTCCCAAACAGGCTGAAATAGTCTAGTATACAGGCGATTCAAAAATCAATGTTACAATATTTTTTTAAAGACCGATACTTTGATGTAAACGGAATTATTTATTTTATTTTATATAATAAAGTGATTAACAAATACTAAAACTAGATAATGGATACAACTGCTAAATTTGCGAACTTACAAAACAAGTTTGACATAAAAACAAAATAAAAACCAACGAAGTATAATTTGATAATAAATCGTAACGTTGTTACCATAGTAAAGAAATCAAGGCAGACTGTATTAGCAAATAGCAATTGGAAAAATGAAAACAAGGACTGGAAAAATGAAAACAGGGACTGGAAAAAGCTTTTGCCGATGCCTAACATCCATTTTCCGGTCTTGATCGGCAAAACGTTATTTTCTGGACGAAATATTGTCCAGAAAATGTCTTAAAAAATATATTGTCCGACTTAGAACTCGGGAAAATGAATTATTTCGACCTGAAACTTTGAAAAAATAATTATACCGACTTAGAACTCGGAAAAATTGATTGCTCTGTCTTGTAACATGGAAAATTAAATTATTTCGTGTTAAAACTCGGAAAAAATATATTATTTCGACCTGGAACTCGAAAACATTAATTATTCAGACTTAGAACTCGAAAAAATGAATTATTCTGACTTAGAACTCGGAAAATTGAATTATTTCAACTTAAAATTCAGAAAAATGAATTATTCCGACTTAGAACTGAGAAAAATAAATTATTTCGACATAGAACTCTGAAAAATTAATTCTTCCTAGTTAGAACTCGGAAAGATTGGTTTCTCTGACTTAGAACTCTAAAAAATAGATTATACCGACTTAGAACTCGAAAAAATTAATTATTCCGACTTAGAACTCGGAAAAATTGATTTCTCTGACTTCGAACTGGGAAAAATAGATTATTTCGACTTAGTACTCGGAAAAATAGATTATTCTGACTTAAAACTCGGAAAAATAGATTGTTTCGACTTAGAACTCGGAAAAATTAATTCTTCCTACTTAGAACTCGAAAAAATTAGTTTCTCTGACTTAGAACTCGGAAAAATAGATTATTCCAACTTGGAACTCGGAAAAATTAATTATTGCGACTTATAACTTGAAATTAATAATTATTCTCGATTTTGGTGTAAGACTATAATCTAGCGCGCAAAATCATTGAATAATGAAGCTCATTCTTAAACGATTTTTGGTGATATTTTTTGTGACATTTCAGTTGACATTCACTACTCCACTAGTACTCGGAAAAATAGATTATTCGGACTTAGAACTCGGAAAAGTGAATTAATCCGACTTAGAACTCGAAAAAATTAATTATTCTGACTTACAACCCGGAAAAATGAATTATTCCAAACTTATAACTCGGAGTTATTCCAAATTTAGAATTCAGAAAAATGAATTATTCCGACTTAGAACTAAGAAATTGGAAAAATCAGATTAATCCGACTTGGAACTGTGTAGTTACTTTTCCCAAGAAAGCTAATAATTATTGTAAGAGGCTGGTACTTAGGAAATTTAAAAATCTTGCCTTTTATTAATTATATTAATATTAATATTAAATACCTACCTATGGCTTGAATTCACGCCAAACATGAAATATGCGCAATATGGTAGACCACCAACTTAAAGACCATCTAAGCGACTACTAATAAATCGTAATTATAAAGCTGGTAAATATTATTCGATAGTTGCCAGTTTTGTTAAAATAGAGCGAAATAAAGACGATGTACGATCCAAAAAATTCGCAGAATGATAACGTTGTACGGTTGAACAAACAATCGCAACTTCTTTTACCGGCATCTTCTGCTTAGGACTTTATCTTCATAAGCGTTGACTTACTAGATATATTTATACAATGCTGTAGGTAAGCATCTTCATATTTATCCCTGTTTCATTTGGGAAACGTTTTAACTTTTAACGTTGCTTTTGAAATATATTAACTAGATTGCAACTCACCTGTCATTATCACCTTCCGATTCAAAATCAATTTCATTTTCATTTCCTTCCATCAACATCTTCAACTTGAGCTGATATCTAACGGCCAACTCTTTCACCAACTCATCATGATCAGCAATGTCGGGATTCAAAACGATCGTGTTTTGCGGTAAATAAAAAGACAACTCGAACTGCGGATAAAAAGTGAAAAACTCATTCAGTCCCAATAATTGACCGTACCTCAAATTATGCAGCGCTGTTACGTCCTGTTTGAAATTTACTATTCGTTTTGACTTAACGTTTCTGAGAACGCGGAAAGCTTCTTCGGCTGTGTTATTGGTGAAGGTGCTGTACTGAAAGAAAATGTAAAATTGCGACAGACAGAATGGAGTGTCCCAAACTTTTGATCTTCTTTGTTTCTTTGTTCGATAGCAAATCAAATTGTTGTCTCTCAGTTCTTTTACGGCTTCTTTGACCAGAGCGTCGGGATAGTTTTGGTAAATTTTGAAAAGTTGTACCGAAAAATCTGAAATGTTGAGAAAAGTCTTTAAGAGAAGAGGAATGTGTTAACTCCGAGCGTTTGGTTTTAATTCTAGAGGGCACAATAAATTATATTAAAAAGAACTAAAAGAGATTAATGACAAAAAAATCAAAAAATCATTAAAAAAAATAAAAATTACAAAATTCTATAATTTAACAAACTTAAAAAGAAACAAAAATACTCACCTGTTATTTTTTTAGAACAAAGCGAGCTGTGTATAACTGATTTAACTATGTCTTTTTTAATGTCGACTTCATTTTTGGGATCGAAATACTTTTTTTCTTTCTTTTCAATCTCCACTGCTGTTTCTTCTGTGTATTTTAGATTGTCTTCAGACAAATGGTCATTATTAACTAAATTACCTGTAAATAACAACAAAAATTGCATATTTTTCCCTTATAAATGACACGTTTCATTTAGTTTTTGATGCTGGCATTAAAACAGATACACTTTTACAAAATAATAGTTGGAGATGTGGGATATACATTGTTCAAACCTTGCAAAAATGGAAAAGAAAATGTATACTTAGTATTTAGATAAAAGAAAATATCTACCAATAGAAGCAAAGCTGTCTAACATTGACTTGGAAAATAGATAGTGCATAGAAGTTAAATGTTTGGTCAGTTTGGGTTACAAATAAAATATGCCAGATACAAATACAGTATATGAGTCCCCTAAATGCAAAACTCGGTATTTGACGAAATCTTCAAAAGTAATGTTTTGGCGCCATTCAATTCCTTATGTCAAACTCTAGCATTCTCCTTCTAAAATAAGATGCAAAACTTCTTATTTCTGCATTAAAAACGCTTTAGAAAACGAAGACTAGATGCAAAACTCTGTATTTGCCTTCACTTGTCAAATGCAAAACTACGTAATTGTAACTTGCCAATGGCGTTGCGCCTAATAGTCACGTGATTAGGTAAGTGCACGGGCACGTATACATTTTAATTAATTCATTTGTAGTTTGCATATTTAGGGAAAATTTTTTTGCTTGTATGTAATTTATTACACCTAATAAAAATGTTTTAATTTATATTTTTGTATCTTTTTGAAAAAAAAATTGTAAGAAAATAAATGTTCTAAAATAAGACAACCATGCACTTATTGGTATTTGTAATTGTGAGTTGCAAAACTGGGTATTTTTAAAACATAAATGCAAAACTCGGTATTTTAATTTTAAAAGTATTTTTTTTAATTTTTGGTAGGATTTCGGAATGAAGAGCATAGTTATTTCAAAACAAAATCACTAGAGCCAACTAAAAACAAAATTTAAAACGAATACATATGTATTTTAATTACTGACAGCTTTTTGTCCTTCCTGAAAAATTTTGTAACTAGCAAATACCGAGTTTTGCATTTAGGGGACTCATATACATTTTTTTTATATCAAAATTGCCTGACAAAAAATTCGTTGCTTGGGGCAGGCTCGGTTGGGAAGAGAGCAGTACCCCCTTCGCCCCCTCGATATCCGCACCTGAGAACACAAAACGAGAAGACAAACAAAACTAGAAGACAAACAAAACTATAAAACAAACAAAACTAGAAGACAAACAATACGAGAAGGCTAACAAAACGAGAAGACAAACAAAACTAGAAGACAAACAATACGAGAAGGCTAACAAAACGAGAAGACAAACAAAACTAGAAGACAAACAAAACGAGAAGACAAACAAACCGAGAATAAAGAACAGATTATAGTATTTCTATTATTAATATTATTATTTACTAACCTTCCAAGACATCGAATATTCTCTTCTTGTTGCGTACAATATAAGACATCAAAATAACGTAGGCGGCTGATTTCTCTGCTTCTGTCAATTTAAACGGTAATTTAGTTTTTTCATCGAGAACACCAATTTTATCCAACAAAACTTTGAACGTCTCAGCAATTGGCTTTAATTTGAACAAATTTAGAACTTTGTTTTCTAATCCAACATAAGCACGTTTTTGTAATTTACTCCAATGTCGTTGAATGGCCCTAAAAAGAAAAACAAACAAATTTTTCGAATATCATTTTTTCATATACCTAATCAAAAATATACTTTTTTGGAAAAAGTTTTGAAAACCAAAATATCGGGGCTAGTTTCCGTTATATTCTATAAAAATTAGTTCAATTTATTCCACTATAAATCGTTTATTTTTCAAATAAAAAAAAACTCATTGAAGATTTTACTTTTTTAATTCGACGTTTCGTAAGTGTAGGACCACCATCAACTTCTTTATGTGAATATGGACCAGTATTATTCTGACAGATCATTTTAAGGCACGTTCAATTTATTCAATAAGGTAACAACATATTGTGATTAGTCAACATTTTGGAAAATTTAAACATCATCAGGTAAGTACGGACCTGTATTTTTAAGTTAAAAATGTTTGGATTATAAACGAAGAAACAAAGAAACGAAGAAACAAAGAAACGAAGAAACGAGGAAACGAAGAAACGAGGAAACAAAGAAACGAGGAAACAAAGAAACAAAAACAACAAAGAAACAAAAACAACAAAGAAACAAAAACAACAAAGAAACAGAGAAACAAAGAAATATTATTAACAAAACAAATAATAAATTTAAAAATTAATTTGACTCACCTGGAAGTTTTATATTTGCTTAAAGGGCATATCCGATGCAAGACATCTCTAACAACGGTAAAAGGGATAATCTGTTTCTTGAAATGTTTCGTTGCGTTCAAAATAAGATCTCCAATTTTACACAACAAAGCGTATTCTTCCTCTTGCTCCAACCATTTTGCTCTTCTCGTACCCAATTTTTTTAGAATTTTTTTATCGACCTCGTCATTGTATTGCCTTTTGACTATTTGTTTTACTCGTCTCTGTATTATTCTCGTGTATTTGTTGTTACGACAGCCAAGAGAGGGCTGCATAATATTTTTGAGATGGCCCTTATTTTGAACAGAAGGAAGGTAGAATTTTGGTATAACGTTCGCAGACAAATCATTGAACAGTGTGGTTTGTGGTGGTATCTGAAAGTATTTTAACAACAATTTATTAATAAAAAAAGAGTCCTCCTAGATTAGTCAATAAACAAACGGATTGAAAAAGATTCAAATTTAAACCTAAAGAATTAATTAACTAAGAACTGAAGAGTAACTAGATAACATGGATAAATTATTAGTTAAAGATATTCAACTATAGTAGCATTGGAAAATATACCAAAAATCATTCAGAGGCTAAATGAAACAATTACGCAAAATAAATTAGAGGAAAATTAAAAAAAAAGGAAATTGCAACAAACCAAAGCTCCGTTAATAAAAGAGTGTTAAACAATGCAACCCAGAGATTACCCCAATGTAAACGATGCCAAGAATATGGGCATATATACAAAATTACTGCAAAAAATAACCCAGATGTATCAAATTTAGCTCATCTCTATAAGGCCAGTTTTATCATTTCTTTTAATCTTTTTTAATTTGTTGTCATTTATTTTAATTTATTGTCATATTCTTGTCATTTACTGTCATTTATCGTCATTTATTGTCATTAAAGTCCATTTATAGTCATTTATTGTCACTTATTGTGATTTAGTGTCATTATTATTTATTGTCATTATTGTCACTTATTGTGATTTAGTGTCATTATTATTTATTGTCATTTACGGTCATTTATTGTTATTTATTTATCGTCATTTATCATCAATTATCGGCATTTATTTTCGTTTATTGACATTGATTTATTTGTTTAAATATATTTATTGCCATTTACGGTTTAGCACTTATTGACATTTATTTATCGTCATTTATTTTGATTTATTTTCATTGATTGTCATTTTTTTATTGTCATTTATAGTTATTTATTGTCATTTATAGTTATTTATTGTCATTTATAGTTATTTATTGTCATTTATTTATAATTATTATTGTCATTTATTTATCGTTATTATTTATCATTTATTTTCATTCATTACCATTGATTGTCATTTATTTATTGTTATTTATTTATCGTTATTATTTATCATCATTTATTTTCTATCATTGTCATTTATTATCATATATTATCATTTATTGCCATTAATGTATCGTTATTTACCGTCATTTATATTCATTAATTACATTTATTGTCATATACACAAATTTTAATGTCGAAATCTCTTATAAAGATTCATAGGTGTATAGTGTCCCTGTGAATCCCAAAATATAAAATAAAAAATTAAATGTTTTAAAGAAATAAGAAACAAAGCAAACCTCTCTGAGGGTTTCATTGGTTAAACCCGTAAACACGAAACTGCGGGTTCCTTTTGTTGCCCAAACCCAATTTCTGACTAGGTGGGGCCACAATGATGAATCCAAACCGCATGCGCCTTTTCCGTCACCAGGTGTTATGCCGTTATCATGTCTGCAAGAAACCAAAATTAACAATAAAAAAATTCTTTATTATCTAATCCGGTCTTTTTTGAGCTAGAAATTTTTACATTCTCTTTCTACCTACATGGCTCCAAGAAATTAATACATCAAAAAGTAATTAATTACAATAATTCTAGTTTGGTTTATTTATAATTCCTATCACAGAAATATATTTTAAATTATACTCACAAAATTAAATTAAATGAAATTGAAAGAAATTGAAAGAAATTGAAAGAAATTGAAAGAAATTGAAAGAAATTGAAAGAAATTGAAAGAAATTGAAAGAAATTGAAAGAAATTGAAAGAAATTGAAAGAAATTGAAAGAAATTGAAAGAAATTGAAAGAAATTGAAAGAAATTGAAAGAAATTGAAAGAAATTGAAAGAAATTGAAAGAAATTGAAAGAAATTGAAAGAAATTGAAAGAAATTGAAAGAAATTGAAAGAAATTGAAAGAAATTGAAAGAAATTGAAAGAAATTGAAAGAAATTGAAAGAAATTGAAAGAAATTGAAAGAAATTGAAAGAAATTGAAAGAAATTGAAAGAAATTGAAAGAAATTGAAAGAAATTTAAAGAAATTGAAAAAAAATTGAAAGAAATTGAAAGAAATTGAAAGAAATTGAAAGAAATTGAAAGAAATTGAAAGAAATTGAAAGAAATTGAAAGAAATTGAAAGAAATTGAAAGAAATTGAAAGAAATTGAAAGAAATTGAAAGAAATTGAAAGAAATTGAAAGAAATTGAAAGAAATTGAAAGAAATTGAAAGAAATTGAAAGAAATGAAATTAAAATTAAATGATATTGAAATGAAATTAAATTAAATGACATTAAACGAAATTAAAATAAATTGAAAGAAATTGAAAAAATCGAAAGAAATTAAAAGAAATCAAAAGAAATTAATAAATTCTAGTTTGGTATATTTATAATTTCTATGGCACAGATTTTAAATTATACTCACAGTAGTGCTTCTTTGGGTGTTCTTGACTTGATACTTTCCACGAATTCATTCTTCGTATTTATGTAAGTTAGCGTTACTATTTGACCTGGTTCTCTAGCATTGAGCTTAGTATTTAAACCTACAACATAAAATATGTAAAAGCGTTGATATGTAGGTAATGGAAAATATTCGCAAATAAATTTTGATTATGATAATAATTCTCTCCCTATTTACCCCCTTAAGAGTAAATTTTAACTCTAGAAGAAGACCGTGTGCGGGTAAGGACGATTACTATTAATTTTGTGAAGGTGAAATTTGTGTTATTAAATTTATTTTGTGTTTTATTTCCATTTAAAGTTATAAAAAATAAAGCTTTAGGGTGTTCTTTTTCAATAAATTTGTATCATGAAATCGATATAATATTTAAAGTATCCAAACAGGGGTAATTATGTGGGTAATTTTTAACCAAAATGAAGGTATTTTCGACCAAAAATGAGCAAGTAGGATAAATTTACAAAATGGGTAAATTTAGATCAAAAAGAAGCTATTTTGGACAAAACCCAGTACAATTTGGACAAAAGTGGGTATTTTTTACAAAATGGACAATTGAAAAAATTAATAATTAGGACAAAAAAGGGGGTAATTTTGGACAGTGTTAACTTTTGAAAAGACGCCGATATATTTTTTAAACAAGACAATTTTGGAAAAAGGGGGCAAATTTGGACAAAAAGTGGCAATTTTGACAGCAGCTGATAAAATTTTTGTCTCCTCTTCGGTAGCGTAGCCGTGTCGACGACCTGTATTTTATTACAGATCATTTAGTGGTTGATACATTGACACCAAACTTTAGATCCTAGACCAAACCATGTGAATTTTAAATGAATTTGCATAATTCGTTGTAAGATTTGATGGGTGCCGAATTAGCAGTAATTTAATTTCTGTTGATATGACATCCATATTAGAATTCGCCGTTTTCCTCACCTATAAGTCAAATGATACCATCCACTCATCTGTAAGTCGCCCCGTGGCGCCGAGGCAAATGATAATATTAATTCCCTCACCGGACAAGCTCAGTTAGTTTTTGGGGTTATAATTCACTGGTAAGGGGGTGAATTATAGGTAGAGTATTACTATTATTAATATTGAAATTATGAAATTGGTCCTAGGAATAGGGGCGACAAGTGTTTTGTACAGCAAGTACACGCAAAAATTGATAAATTATTAAACTTACTTATAGAATTTAGCATGTGCCAATAATGATCGATATCACTAAGAGTATTAAAATAAAACGGTATCGTGGGATACTCCTTATTTTCCACCTCATTGTATCCGGGGCCGCTGCTTCTGGTGTCCTTAACCGTAGCTCTTCGGTTCACATAGATAAACAATTGGTCTTTTTCTTTATATTTCTTAGGACCGAATTGAACCAATCCGCAAAATACCAACCGATTTATTGTATCGTAAGCATCGTAAAGGTATTTGCGCTTAAAAAATACGGTCCGTCTGATTATTTCAGAATGATCTTTTACCAAATAAAATCTAGAATAAAAATATGGCGTCATAAAGCGACTAGAAAACAAAGTATTTACAAAGTATTTACAAAGTATTTACAAAGTATTTACAAAGTATTTAAAAAGTATTTACAAAGTATTTACAAGGCATTTACAAGGTATTTACAAGGTATTTACAAAGTATTTACAAAGTATTTATAAAGTATTTACAAAGTATTTACAAAGTATTTACAAAGTATTTACAAAGTATTTACAAAGTATTTACAAAGTATTTACAAAGTATTTACAAAGTATTTACAAAGTATTTACAAAGTATTTACAAAGTATTTACAAAGTATTTACAAAGTATTTACAAAGTATTTACAAAGTATTTACAAAGTATTTACAAAGTATTTACAAAGTATTTACAAAGTATTTACAAAGTATTTACAAAGTATTTACAAAGTATTTACAAAGTATTTACAAAGTATTTACAAAGTATTTACAAAGTATTTACAAAGTATTTACAAAGTATTTACAAAGTATTTACAAAGTATTTACAAAGTATTTACAAAGTATTTACAAAGTATTTACAAAGTATTCACAAAGTATTTACAAAGTATTTACAAATTATTTACAAAGTATTTACAAAGTATTTACAAAGTATTTACAAAGTATTTACAAGGTATTTTCAAAGTATTTACAAAGTATTTACAAAGTATTTACAAATTATTTACAAAGTATTTACAAAGTATTTACAAATTATTTACAAATTATTTACAAAGTATTTACAAAGTATTTACAAAGTATTTACAAAGCATTTACAAAGTATTTACAAATTATTTACAAAGTATTTACAAAGCATTTACAAAGTATTTATTTACAAAGTATTTATTTACAAAGTATTTACAAGGTATTTACAAGGTATTTACAAAGCATTTACAAAGTATTTACAAAGTATTTACAAAATATTTACAAAGTATTTACAAAGTATTTACAAAGTATTTACAAAGTATTTGCAAAGTATTTGCAAAGTATTTGCAAAGTATTTGCAAAGTATTTGCAAAGTATTTGCAAAGTATTTGCAAAGTGTTTGCAAAGTCTTTACAAAGTGTTTGCAAAGTCTTTACAAAGTATTTGCAAAGTATTTACAAAGTATTTACAAAGTATTTACAAAGTATTTACAAAGTATTTACAAAGTATTTACAAAGTATTTACAAAGTATTTACAAAGTATTTACAAAGTATTTACAAAGCATTTACAAAGTATTTACAAAGTATTTGCAAAGTATTTGCAAAGTATTTACAAAGTATTTACAAAGTATTTACAAAGTATTTACAAAGTATTTACAAAGTATTTACAAAGTATTTACAAAGTATTTACAAAGTATTTACAAAGTATTTACAAAGTATTTACAAAGTATTTACAAAGTATTTACAAAGTATTTACAAAGTATTTACAAAGTATTTACAAAGTATTTACAAAGTATTTACAAAGTATTTACAAAGTATTTACAAAGTATTTACAAAGTATTTACAAAGTATTTACAAAGTATTTACAAAGTATTTACAAAGTATTTACAAAGTATTTACAAAGTATTTACAAAGTATTTACAAAGTATTTACAAAGTATTTACAAAGTATTTACAAAGTATTTACAAAGTATTTACAAAGTATTTACAAAGTATTTACAAAGTATTTACAAAGTATTTACAAAGTATTTACAAAGTATTTACAAAGTATTTACAAAGTATTTACAAAGTATTTACAAAGTATTTACAAAGTATTTACAAAGTATTTACAAAGTATTTACAAAGTATTTACAAAGTATTTACAAAGTATTTACAAAGTATTTACAAAGTATTTACAAAGTATTTACAAATTATTTACAAAGTATTTACAAAGTATTTACAAAGTATTTACAAAGTATTTACAAAGTATTTACAAAGTATTTACAAAGTATTTACAAAGTATTTACAAAGTATTTACAAAGTATTTACAAAGTATTTACAAAGTATTTACAAAGTATTTACAAAGTATTTACAAAGTATTTACAAAGTATTTACAAATTATTTACAAAGTATTTACAAAGTATTTACAAAGTATTTACAAAGTATTTACAAAGTATTTACAAAGTATTTACAAAGTATTTACAAAGTATTTACAAATTATTTACAAAGTATTTACAAAGTATTTACAAATTATTTACAAAGTATTTACAAAGTATTTACAAAGTATTTACAAAGTATTTACAAAGTATTTACAAAGTATTTACAAAGTATTTACAAAGTATTTACAAAGTATTTACAAAGTATTTACAAAGTATTTACAAAGTATTTACAAAGTATTTACAAAGTATTTAAAAAGTATTTACAAAGTATTTACAAAGTATTTACAAAGTATTTACAAAGTATTTACAAAGCATTTACAAAGCATTTACAAAGTATTTACAAAGTATTTACAAAGTATTTACAAAGTATTTACAAAGTATTTACAAAGTATTTACAAAGTATTTACAAAGTATTTACAAGGTATTTTCAAAGTATTTACAAAGTATTTACAAAGTATTTACAAAGTATTTACAAATTATTTACAAAGTATTTACAAAGTATTTACAAATTATTTACAAAGTATTTACAAAGTATTTACAAAGTATTTACAAGGTATTTACAAGGTATTTACAAAGCATTTACAAAGTATTTACAAATTATTTACAAAGTATTTACAAAGTATTTACAAAGCATTTACAAAGTATTTATTTACAAAGTATTTATTTACAAAGTATTTATTTACAAAGTATTTATTTACAAAGTATTTACAAAGTATTTACAAAGTATTTACAAGGTATTTACAAAGCATTTACAAAGTATTTACAAAGTATTTACAAAGTATTTACAAAGTATTTACAAAGTATTTACAAAGTATTTACAAAGTATTTACAAAGTATTTACAAAGTATTTACAAAGTATTTACAAAGTATTTACAAAGTATTTACAAAGTATTTACAAAGTATTTACAAAGTATTTACAAAGTATTTACAAAGTATTTACAAAGTATTTACAAAGTATTTACAAAGTATTTACAAAGTATTTACAAAGTATTTACAAAGTATTTACAAAGTATTTACAAAGTATTTACAAAGTATTTACAAAGTATTTACAAAGTATTTACAAAGTATTTACAAAGTATTTACAAAGTATTTACAAAGTATTTACAAAGTATTTACAAAGTATTTACAAAGTATTTACAAAGTATTTACAAAGTATTTACAAAGCAGTAATTACAAAGTCATATTTACAAAGTATTTACAATATAAAGTGTACCATATATCAAAACCGATTACTAAGATCGTTAATGCTAAATCAGATTGTAACAATTCCGGTAAAAAAGTTAACAGCAGTTGCGCAGTTTCTGAAATTTATTTGTGTCTAGAATAGTAACGTGAAGTTCCTGAATCCTATTTACATAAATGGTCTAGTTAAACATTTGAAAATTTCGGTCATGGCTAAGATGCCGGTATATCGCGGTTCCAAAGTAGATTTAAAAGCTGCGCCAATCAGGTCATACCTTTAGATTTTTGTTCCCGATACAGATTTCTCTTCCTGGTTGTGCACGCACCGAATCTGAAGGGTGTGAATTGTATTTAAGGGCTGATATTTGTATATTCCGGGAGGTGTGATCGAGTCAGTACCGAATTACAGAAAAAATAATGAGAATAAAAATGAAATATTACCTTTCATATCCGATAATATTAATTATTTTAAATAAGTGAAGACTTAACAACATGTATGCTACAATATTTTACCACAGTAGAGTTGCTGGATTATAGAAAACGGTTAATATACAAATAAGAAAACTTACTAAAAAGTATTTAAACCACACTTACCTTTTAACGGGATGATTCAAAGTTGCCAAAAGTTCAGAATCTTCGTAACAGCAATTATGAATTTTCAATAGAACAGAAAGTGGAAATCTCAGAATGATATCGCAAACCAGCGCCCAGCCGGTGGTCCATCCAGCGTGCGCTGGTAAAGGGGGTACAAACATTTTCCAACTTATTTCGTTACAATATACGTTTGGTATTTCATTCAAATCTTTTTCGGAGAGTTCGATACGATAACTTTTAAATAATTTACGAACATCTTCACGTGGTAGTGGTTTTTTAGATCCGTTGTAATTGTATACCAGATAGAAGAGGAATTCGTGCATTATCCTCATCCTGAAAAACGAAACGAAACAGTGTCAATCAAATATTTTCGACTTCATCTATTGTTAGATATGTGGACGAACCCGTAAATTTCTTTTATACAGCGTGAGTCAAAAGAAAGGAATATATTCGATAAAAGGGAAAGTATTGATTTTTGGAAAGTACACAAGGTAGTGTACTGAGCCCCATACTTTACCTACTATACACTAATGACATACCTAACCGTGAGTTCGTAATAATAGCTACATTCGCATACGAAGAAGCGGCCAGAAAAATTCAAACATGTATAAACCAGATATGTATCTGGACTAAAAGATATCGCATCAAAATGAAATGAAAACAAGTTAATTCACGTCAACTTTTGATGATTCAGTGAAATATTTGGGTATGACTCTAGACCAGCTGTATTCAACCTTTTTTTCTTTCTTTCGGGCCACATAAATCTGTTTGTTATGCTACACGGGCCACAATATTTTTTGAAAAGCAAATAAAGGATAATAGGTGACGATAGGGACTAGCTTTAAATATTAGGTGGTTTATTAAGCTTTGAAAAGTCGCAAAAGGACAGGACTGTAGGTCAACCATTTCAATTACTAATAATCGTGTTTGGGGCTGCACAAAAAAGCTTGGAGGGTCGCATAAAACAGCTTGGGGGCTGCAGGTTGAGTATGGCTGCTAAACTCCGCTGGAAAGTACATGTCAAAAAGAAATAAAGAAAGAAAAAAAAAATAAAATTAAATACAGAAAAATATACTGGATGATAAGAAGAAATTCCACGCCCTGTACATATAACAAATTGCTTCTTTACAAGCAAATCTGAAAACCTGTCTGGACACATGACATAAGCCATCCAGCTTTGGGACTGTGCTGCCAAAGCAACATCAAAGTAATTCAACAATGGGACAAACACTAAGAAACATCGTAGATGTAGACTCCGTTCACGAGAAACGATGCCAGCTGAAGTTGCAACAATGACAATCGCAGAAACCAAATTATGTCTTGTTTATCTACGTGGCTTAGTAACGACAGTATCACGCCACTGGCGTAGAACGAACATTTTTAAGCCGATAGCAATTTATTTGTTAGCGTTTAACATTTGAGATTGTGTTTTTGTAATCGTTTATTTGTTAAATATGTTTGATTTTCGACTATTTTAAGACGTTTATAAGTGAGTGTTGTGTTATTTAATCTAAAACCATGCCTCCTAAAAAAATTGTTGGTTTAAAAGGAAAAATTATTCATAGATTATAAAAAATGTTGACACTTAAAAAATGTTATTAAATACTGATGAAACATACATCCATAGCTTACATGTGTAATCTAAGGGATGGTATGATAAATCAGGAAAAGGTTTGAAGAAGCCAATCTTAAAAGGAAGGAGACTTGTGAACAAAGAACAAAGACTTCTTCAATGCAATCCAACTCCTAGACAACACAAACCAAGTAAGAAGGCCCAAGAGGTCCAAACTGTTTGAATAGTGAGAAAACAGAGCATAGTGCGAAAAGTGTACACGTTAAATATTAAGCGTAATTAATTTATTAGACCCTAAGGGATTCAATTAAGTTAGAATTAAATACCTATCGATCGTTTTTAATGGGTAAAATACCCTTCAAAGGGAATTTTGTTAAAAAAAGAAAATATTTACCTGGTAAATTTTGCTTTACATCCATAAATAACTCCCATTGTTTTCCTATGTTTTCTATGTATTTCTTTTACCATCAGTTTATTTAACTTATTCAACTCGTTGATGCTTTTCAAAACATCAGTAGCAGAAAATGGGGACTTTCCGATTTTGTTTTCCAAACTTTTCTGTACGCCGGGCACGTGAGGTTTTGTCGTTTTAGACGCCGAGCAACTGGTAGTGAAAAATTTCCATTTGATCTGTTGACAAGCGCTTTTTATCGTATCATCCATGTGATTTACGGACGGGTGGCAGATAAATACGACTGTTTTGCTTATGGCGTTGTTGTACATGGCTAGTTTGTAAACTTTTATATAGCCTTCATTGACTAATCTTTTTATTATTCTGAACAATGATTTTCTGTCCAGTTTTTTATCGTTACCTGAAAATTTATATTATTATTATTTTGAATTTGTAGACTCTAATAATTATTTTTGTATGTTAGCAGGTAAACAAATTTTTGTTAATTGTAGTACGGTAAATAACATCGGCAGTCAAGACCGGGGAGTGCGGGAACTGATGCGGTAATAGCGGACCGTCGTCAGCGCTCCTCCAGGCAGAACGATTTGAGTCGCCTTGTGTGTCTAATGTGATCAGCTGTTGTTGCTGTTGGCATTGTGTTCTTTGTCTAATCACTTGGTAACTAAATAATTATGTGACTTAATAATTAATAAAATCTAACATGTAGATGTTCATGCTCTGAGGATGACGATTTACAAACTCAAGGGTCTCTGGCCCGAGAATGTGAGTCGCACGAGGGCATACACATGTATTAAAATGCGAAAATTCAATTTGAACAACATTGTCATTTTATCATAGTATACACTATAGTGGCTAGGGAAATGCTGTCAAACTTAAGAAGTTTTGAAATCCCTGACGACATTGCAAAAATAGCGAAAGAAAGCCAAAATTTGTTACCGAAGAACTCGAGAGACAAAGAATATGACAAATTACTAAACAAGAGAGGACAGTCAGAGCGAAACATTAATACGATAGATATAGAGATACACTTCAATTTAAAGGGATTTAAAGGCATTTTAAGAGTTATTGCTCTCGGCGATCGAGTTTAGTTTCAGGGGAAATTCACAGTAGGTATCTCCTCTAATTCTCCCACCTCAAAATATAGAAACTATTGCATAACTAACAATCGGCAGACGTTAGACAAATAATACAGAGTTGAAGTATTTCCAGTACGTTAACGTAAACGTGAACGCAGAAAAATAATGTCTACGTTGCTGTACAAAATATGAGTTGAAGTTGTTAAACGCATCGTGTCATTTACGTATCATGACAAATAATGACAGTTAATGACATATTATATTGGGATTTCTACTTTTCCTATTAAAAAGAGGCGTTACGTGTATACGCCAGACCCCGTAAGTTTACGTATGTACGTAGACGTAAACGTAAAGGATATTTTAATAGGCATGCGCAGATGTCAAATTTCACGTATACGTTTACGTTTATAACATCACTTCAACTCTCTATTGTTTTTAGCGGGAAGAATTGTTACACTTGGTATTATTGTAGGAGTAGTAGTTCATCCTCTAATGAGTTGATTTGATTTTGGGAATATACGGAGCATCTGGGGGTACTTTATAGATAGTCGTTTTTCTACTTTAAGGAATATATGTTATTTACGCTTGAAGAAAAAATTTTGTCAAATAAAAGTTGCTTGTGATATAAAATTCAATTTAAAAAAAAAGATAAAGTATGTATTTGAATTTTAACTTACCCTGTACAGATTTGTTTCGAATTAAAAAAATAGTGTATCGGCATAAAATGTAGACTAATATCGAAAATCTTTACCACAAAAGATTGCTTTTCAATTGAAGACCTTGGTGTAATAAGACTAATACGGATATATGCCACATTGTAAGTTTTGAAAAATGGAGTTTAAAACTTGTTTTAAATGTGTCTAATACAAATTTTAAAAAAATATTTACATATAAATATTACTAAAAATAATGTCTCTAATTCGAAATAGAGGTAAAATAATTTGTATGTGGTTAGTATCCTTATTAATAGATGTTTTGAGTTAAAACAGTCACTTCACGACAAATTGTGGCTTGCATCCTTTTTACACCAATGGCTTCAATTGTTTCTTTTGCAGTATACAGGCCATTGAGATCAATACGATTTTCATATAAAATTGGTATTAGCGGTATACTCTTTATAATCTCATACTATTTGGTATTGTTATAATGGGAAAAGCGAGGGCAATTCAAATATAAAATAAAATACAAGGCATTCCATTTAAAAAAACCTAACTTTAATATGTTTTTCATTTTTTTGGAGAACCCTGTATGATTAAAATTATTTTTAAATTGTTGCCTTTTTTTCGGACAAACATGTCGTTGTGAAAACAAATTTTAAAAAATCATATAGTTTTGGCTCTACAGACCGAGGCGTTACCGGTGGCTCGTCCTGTACATAAGTCATTACATTACAAGGTTTATTTTTACTTTCCTATCTGTATACAGATATAAGGAAAGTATAGGAATTATTATTTTTTTCGGCCTCGAGTTTTTGACGGATTTTTACGTTTTGAGGTCCCCTGAATCCGTTTTGACTATTTTCGCGATGATGTCTCTGTGTGTGTGTCTGTATCCACCATAACTCATGATACACAGAAAAACACCAAATTTTAAACTTAAGCTTTGTTCTATTGTACAATGAACTGATTAGATTTTAGGCAGAGTCGAAACATCTGGGGGTACTTTATAGGTGGTCATTTTTATATTTTATGGAATATATGTTATTTCCGTTTGGGGAAGAAAATTCTTCAAATAAAAGTTACTTCTTATATTATTATCTATAATTTTTGTTCTATACAAAATTTTCCTAAAATGGTCCGTATTCGAGAAATTTGACAAAATGTAAAAAAATATTTTTTTATAAAAATTGTTCAGATAAAAGTTGTTTGTAATATAATTCTCTATAATTTTTATCCCATACATAATTTCTCTAAAATGGACCGTATTCGAGATATTTGAGAAAATGTGTAAATTTCGAAATTTGAAGAAAACTCAAAAACGGATAAAGAAAAAAACATTAAATTTTAAATTTAAGTTTTATTTCGGCATGACGTGAATTGATTAGATTTTGGAGACAGTCGGAACATCTGGGGGGGTACTTTATGGGAGGCCGTTTTTATATTTTATGGAATATATCTGTTATTTATGTTTGGAGAAAAAAATTGTTCAAATAAAAGTTACTTCTAATATTATTATCTATAATTTTTGCTTTATGTCAAAATTTCCTAAAATAGTCCGTATTCGAGAAATTTGACAAAATGTGCAAAATTCTGATTTTTATGAAAATTGTTGAACTAAAAGTTGTTTGCGATATCAATCTCTATAATTTTTGTTTATACATGATTTTTCTAAAATGGACCGTAATGGAAAAATTGTAGGAAAAGTGCTAAATTTTAATTTTTCAGTATTTTCGTTTTCAATGATTATCTATAGAAAAATGTTTCGAGGTAGATGTATGTGGAAGATGTATATATTTAGTTTATCCTCTAAACATTTATAGAGGTGCTGCAATAGGTTGTACAAAATAACCGGAAAAAGCCTATAATAACTAGATAGGAAAGTCATGTGTTGGACACATCAGATTTTTTAATTTGTGTGCAAGAAAAATATATAGGTATATATGAAAGTTAAAAATGGACTCCGTAAAGCTCGTTTTCCAAAATCTCAAATAGACATTTTACTAAAGAAGCAACAAGAGTTCTTTCTAGCACAATCCTTATGTAAATTAAGATGGAAAATCGCTAAGGTTCATTCTGCCAATTTTTGTCATTATCAAGGTCACTCGTCTTGACGTCACGTGTCATAAGCCAACTAGTGTCAACCTAACCTAATCAGAACTGATCTCGAACTGATCCTGTACTGTTCCAGAACTGATCCTGTACTGTTCCAGAACTGATCCGGTTCAGTTCCGGATCAGTTCTAAAACGGTTCCGGATCAGTTCGAGATCAGGTCCGCATCAGTTCCGGATTAGTTCTGGTTAGGTTAGGTTGGCAACAGTTGGCTGGTGACGTCGTGTAAATATTGTATTCTGTGCTACTTCCACTGTTACAATCTCAGAGTAAGTAAGTAGTAAAGAGAGGACACTAAACAATGTTTGTGTCGCCATGATAATATGGTCGAGAATTCTAATTAGAGAGAAATAGATTAATATCTCTATCTCTTTGTTTGTATTTGTCAGTTTTACAAAGCTTTTCTCAGACAATTATTCCAGTTGTTTAATTTAAATTTGTTCGTGTTGTGGTGTTAAAAGTAATTGTTATTAATATTACATTCATGACAAAAAAGTCATATTTTGTTTTCACTTCATTAAAAATGGACCTACCTACCTTTTAAAACATTTTATATTCTATTTGGTCAACATTTTCGCATTTAAAATGACCCAACGAAATTGTTTTACGGTACGCTACTGCTGGGTATTCTAAAACGAGTGAGAAAACCTTCATTAGAAAGAGAGATACTGATTATATGATAGCGAGATTAATATTGTATAACTTTATGCAGTGGTGGCCTATCTGCTATTATATTATCTAAGGTTACAATAATACCTACCTCCATGAGTAATACAAATAACAAAGGTTCTATAGCGCCATCTATTAAATTACCTTGAACTTCTTACGGCACTTTGATTAGGGCAAAGGCCACTTAGGTCAATAATTATTAGCTTTTATTTCAAACCAAGCTTTCAGGAAAACCAAACATTATTTTGAAGTGCGATTTGTTTCATTTATTCGATATGTTATTTGTACGAGTGGTAACGAAAAGAAAACGTCTTAATATGTTTAGTTTTAAGGTAAATACGTCGACAAGTCGAGGGTTTCTATGTGGTTTGGATACCGAGGGATCAAAGTCATTTTTCAAGTATTTTTAAAAAATTCTGTTCCTTTAGATTTGTTTACAACCCGTAGGCATAATTCATGAACTGATTTCTATATTAAAATTAATGCTACGAAGTATACTTTTCTCAAAAGCTTTATCGAAAGTAACCTCTGAATATACGGGGAATTAACATGGGCAATCGCCAGCCTTAATTCATTGATTAATTTTTGTTATCCACAACCCTAGTTATATCTAAGATGTATGCATCTGAATTAACTAGTTTATTTAAAATGTTATACTGTTTGTTTTGGTTCATTAAATTCCCCAAGAAAACCTGCAGGTGCTTTTAAATAAGCTCAATCACGCAAACTAGCGGAAGCGAGGCAATAAACAAAAATAACTAAACATAAAACTTGAAAATTGATTAAAAAAAAGAAAAGTTGTAATTATCTAAACATCTATTTGACCTAACATAATAACACTTTCTATTTGGTACATACTTAGCATTATACTAATTCGAGAGGGAAACCACTAAGGTCAAAACTTATCCATATTTCTTGGGCTATTCCCTTGTCTTTTGATCCACAAGCTGCCGCATTTACATTTTTGAGCGACCAATTTGTTAATGATTTCGACCATGATTATGATGATTTCGGAATTTTCGAAAAAATTTGTAGTGATTTCGAGTGAAAACGCACCAGTATTTCGGGAGTGGTTAACCCTTCGACTAATTTGTTTTGAAAGTCGTGACGCAGCGCCTGACATAATCGATCAAACAAAGACAGTGACACTGAAAGATATTTTTTTTTAGTTCGGAAATTCTGATTACAATAATAAAATGGCAGAGGATAAATGTAAAGACATAAAAGATACTAAACATGAAGAGGATCAAGAAAGTTTGATGGAGAAATGCTGGTATCCGAATAGAGAAACTGAAAGCAGACCGTATTTGATCAGAGATGCTACGCATCGAAGCAAGTTGCCTCAAGAACCGAAATGTTCTATAACACGCAGTTCTTATATGCCACCGGTGTTTGAACAAAGACCTACGCTCGGTATTAGAAAAAGTCAATTATTAAAGAAATTTCAAGAAGAAGCTGAGTAAGTTTAAATATTTATTAATACAGGGCGTTTCATTAAGAATGGGACACAGAACAACTGAATATTCACTGATTAAAAATAAGACGATTAAATGAAATAGATAAAATATTACTGGTTTCCGAAATACAGGATGTTAAGGTAGAAGGTTACATTCGACTTAAAAGACACACGAATTTCAAAATATTTTTTGTACTATTAGAAAGTAGTGAAGTTATATAACATGAAAACTGAAAAAAAAAATGGAGATTATCCATGATTAAGCGAGAAATGTAATGTTTAAAAAATTGCACATTTTTCATCAAATCTTTTGACATATGTGTACAGGGTTGCTAAGTATTTTAATATGTAAGAAGATATAACTAGTAAACTCGTAAATTATTATACTTTTATGATTTGTTTATTTAAATAAAAATAATAGAATTTTGTGATAAAATACCAGAATCTGTATCAAACATCGCTCCCAGCTCATACAATTGTTTATAAAATTAAACAGTAATCCTTTGTAAGTTTTCTAGAAATACAATGTTACAAAATCATTTTATTTGACTCATTCAACACTCTAAATTCTCCGCTACCCGGTCATACAGGGCGACTTATACGGCCTGGAATCATTACAGTTCAAATAGTATATAATCGATATCAAACATCGCTCCCCAACCTCTAACATAAGTCAAAGAATAAAATATGATCATATCAGCTTAAACAATATAAATTACAATTGGGAAATTTTCAAAAATTTGGATTAATTAGAACAAATAAACCAGAACAAAACATATAAACAAAAAACCATTACTATTTTTGTGATATGTGCAAAGTTAAATTTTTTAATCTATCTTTGGCACTTTTTCCATCATATCTTTCCTTCCACATAAAAGTGTCGATGTATTCCGGCAAAAATTTAGAATTCATGACACCAAGTTTTAAGCATGACCAATAACCACATGGTTCGTACAGATACCTGTCTCGGGATCTCGAAAATATTTTGAATGGTTAACTGTTTTATGGATATAACCAATAAAATAAAAGGCGTACGAAACAGATATGGATACTTCAGGCCCAACAGCATGGTTTTTGAAGATGGAAGAGGAGAGAAAGAGGCGAGAGGAGGAAATGGAAAGGCGAGAAGAGGAAAAGGATAGGTGAGAAGAGGAAAAGGATAGGCGAGAAGAGAAAAAGGAAAGGCGTAGGAAGGAAGATGAGGAAAAGGAAAGGCGTAGGAAGGAAGAAGAGGAGAAAAAGGAAAGGCGTAGGAAGGAGGAAAAAAAGGCGTAGGAAAGCTAAGGTAGAAATTATGAATGGTTTGCTGCAAATTCAAGAAAACTTTAAGCAAGAGGTAGGTCAGCTAAACAGCCGAGTAGACCTCTTAACACAACAACTGGATAATTTAAAAGCCAATCTAGAACAGCAGCAAGAGAATCTAAAAAAAAATTACAAAACCTTAAAATGAATTTAGAACAACAAGAGAATTTAAAGACTAATTTAAAACATCAACAAAACAGGCTAGAGTAGAGTTGGAAAGGCAAATTAGAGCTGAAATGGCAGAGTTAGAGAGAAGAATGAATTCGTAGCCAAGCTTCTGTAAGCAACATTCAAGCTGAAAACACTACCTTATCTTCATCTATAACCGAACCAAGCCGTATTCAAACCCGTCTCACAAAACCATAGTAGCAAGATCCTGAAACCACCCACGTTCGACGGCCAAACAACATGGGAAACATATCGACTCCAATTTGAAGCTGCAGCTAGAGCCAATGGCTGGGCCGAGAAAGAGATGGCGGCTTCATTGATAGTGTCACTGCGAGGTCAGGCAGCAACCATTTTAAAGTTACTTCCCCAAGAAGAACCCAGTTATTCATCTCTTGTCCAAGCTTTGGAGACAAGATATGGCCAGCAGCATTTAAAACAGGTATTCCAAAACCAGCTAAAAGTTCGTAGTCAGAAACACAATGAGAGTCTACAAGAATTTGAAGCCCATATTAAAAGATTGCTGCATCTGGCCTATCCACAGGCACCTAAAGATTTTTTAGAATAAATCGGCATACAAGCATTCATTGATGGACTACAGGACGTGGAAATGCAGCAGGCTTTTCGGCTACACCACAAGACGTTTAGTGAAACACTTATTGCTGCCCAGGAATACGAAGCAGCAAAAAGTATATCTAGATCTTCTCGCGCAAAATTGAGAGAAATTCGATTTCAAGAAAGTAAAGAGGCCACTACTAAAACTACCCCTTAACCTACCATCTCACAAATCTTAAATACCCTGCAAAGTATGCAACGAAATAGCCAAAATGAAAGCAAAAGATGCTTGAATTGTGGAAGAATCGGATACTTTCAAAGAACTTGTCGAAGCAGGACTCGTTCTATAAATCGAGAATCGGGGAATGATACCAGAAATTCACCTAGATCAACCTCCCGAAGCCCTTCCCGAAGTCCATCAAGAAATAATTGCAGCAGGTATTTCTCCCAGAGAAGCCGGTCAACCACACCTAGCCGGCTTTCTAGCAATAGTCAGGGAAACGAATAAAGGTCGACACTACGGGACAGGCGTCGGCTGTAACAGAGGGCCCCAAAATTCGCACTTACACCTTAAATAAAAACAAACAAAATCTATTGGTCAAAGGGTATATCAATAACAAAGAAGGCACCTTCGTCCTTGATACTGGTGCAACTAAGTCTTTAATTCGAACAGGGATCCTGCATCGAAAACCAAGACCAACTCGAAGAAACTTAGTTCTGGAAACGGTTACAGGGCACACTTCTCCTGTTCTAGGCGAGATATCAGCAACCGTACAGATTGGTAATACCCTGATAGAACACTTATTTCTGGTGGCCGATATTAAGGATCAGTGTGTCCTTGGTATGGACATTATGCAAAATAAGTTTATCATCGACCTTCAAAACAAGATCTTGGTAATTGGAAACGAGGAAATTGTGCTAAATTCAGAAGAAAAGACTCAACCGATAAAGGTCCTAGCGGAAGAAGACATAGAAGCACCCTAAAATTCTGAAGCTGTCGTCTCGGCGACACTTAGCGAGAAAACACACGGCTTACGTGTGGGCATTGTGGAAAGTGAAGAATCTGTGAGTGACGGAATTCTGCTAGCTAGATGTCTCGTTAACGTTGATCAAGTAATCCCAGTAAGGGCTGCCAATTTATCCGAAGAGACCGTTGAAACTAAAGAAAGGACAAAATATAGGGCTCTGTACACCGGTAGAAAACATAATCAAGTGCGAAGACAGTTCTACGGGGAAAGCCACTACAAGAAACCCAGTTGACGCCAGCTTTGTGAAACGGCTAGTTAAGAATTATTGATAAAGTTGAGTTGCAATAAATTAAGATACCAAAAACCAGTGTAACAATATCCATTCCATTGGTCAGTCTAAATTTCAGATTCTGGATGAACAATGCGGCGAATTATTGGTATCAAAGTTGTTTGTTTCCTGTTTTTTACATATGTTACATAACCTTTATTTGCGCGCCTTTTTTCCACTTACATTATAAGATCACGCTAAGCTCCTCCCACCCACCTCCCATTCACCTCCTAACCATTACAGAGGAAAGAGCGAAGCGAGTGCGCCCGGCCGGCGTTTCGAAATTCGCGCGCGCGCCTTTTTCCACTTACTAATAAGATCATGCTAAGCTCCTCCCACTCACCTCCCACCTACCTCCCATCGACCTCCTAACCACTACAGAGGAAAGCAGCCAGGCGCGCCTTTTTTCACTTTCGGCTAAACGAAAGTTGAGCCTATTAATAAATTCATAAAAATTGCCTAAACTGAACTGATAATTTTCATTGATCAGTTTCCAGCTTATAACATCCCGAATGTATCTACATTGCTGCACCATTCTTTCTGCTGTAGAAACTACCCTTAGTTGGCATGCCCAGTACCAAAACAATAAAATTGTATCTCACACCGAAATTTTCATCTTCTCAAAAATAAATTTTGAAATAATGTATTGTCAGTTCTACATTTTGGGTAATAAAAAACTGTATTCAAATTGTTTGCTCTTTTTTTGTCTGATCTTATAAACTCGTTTGCAAGATCTTCTCTTGCAATGGAAATGTGACGTTATTAAATTAATATATTGTAAGAATTTTACCAAATCAGCATCATTCTTGTTAATAATTTGATTAATATCATTATTCCTATTCACTTCCATAATTTTGATTATTAAAAAAAACACAATAAATGATTCAAAACAAAATTGTTGAATGATATTCACAATTAATATTCTAATAAAATAAATGAACATCTAAATCTAAACTGTTAATACCCAGACTACTTAGTTTTTTAAATATGGCGGGTAACGGCAGAAATAGTAACAAGTAATAAATTAATCTTGGCAACCCCGCTCATTATACAGAAAAGAAATGTCAAATATTAAAATTTTCAAGTTTTAGGTTAAATTTAATGAAAGACTCGTTTTCTTGTTTTAAAAAAATATTTAATTAAAATATATAATTGATTTATACTTTTTTTCGTATTTCCAAACCTAAGGTGAGTTAAAATCATACTTAATATCATTTAAATTAAAAAACAAAGTGAAATTGACCAAACAGTGTGTTCCTAAAGTCGAACGTACCGAGGTAGAAAATTCAAAAAATATTAATGGCAATAATTTTTATTATTTCTCAGTATGATTTTACCTTAGATAAAAGAGACCAGAGATATAACATACACCGGTTTTAAACCTGCGCAAATGTTGCCAATTTCTAAAGAAGGGTTAACGGAGTGGGGGAACTGGGCGGGGACACGCGGCGACCCGAACTCTGTGACAGGAACCGGACTTTGTTTATTAGCAACTTAATGAACTATTAGGTTTATTTAAAAGGTGTTTAATCGAATTTTGTATTATGAAATCAAATTATCGTGATTTTTTAATATCAAACAGATGCCACGACATTTTATGTAAAGAGAAGACCTTTTATAGAATATTTCGTTAGCGTTTATTTACTACGGACTTTTCTGCAAGAGATTACAGTAAAATGTTGAAATAGAATATATTGTTAATAGAGCAAAAAATGTTACTCATTGTCTACGAGTATTATAAAAATAGCATGTGCGCAGGCTAATACTGCAAATCTACCCTTATGAGTTGAACATTATATTTTTTCTACGGCTATTACATATTATTAAAAATTAGTCAAAATGAGAAAATGCTGTTTCGTATTGTAACCTCAGAAAAAGTATATTAAGGCTTCTTTCTTTAAGAATATTAATTATTATAAAGGACGAGTCACATAAAACTCTAGAAATGCATATGTCTGAAACCAGATAACATTTTAAAATTTAAATCTATTAAAAGTCATTTGGTCGCTAGGGATGAGTGATTATCGAAATAAATTATCGATAATTGAAAATAATCGATTATTTTCGATCAATAGATTATTTTCAAACGATATATTTTCTGTCATTTCCTTTAAAATCGACTACTTGATTATCTTTGAAAAATCAAAAATAATCGATTAATTAAAAAGCCAATTAACCGATAAATCAGTGTTTACAAAATATAATATAAATAGAATTATCGTTTGTTTTAAATAATCGATTATTTTCAAATAAACCATTTTTTTCGTCCATGGAAACAGATTATTCGATAATCTTTGAAAAATCGAAAATAATCGATTAATCAAAAATAATCAATTAATTAAAAAGTCGATTAACTGATAAATCGATTTAAAAAAAAAACAGAATGATCGATTATTTTAAATAATTAATTATTTTCGAACAATCGATTATTATCAATAATCTATTTTTATTGTATTTCCTTTAAAATCGTTAATTCGATTATCTTTGAAATACCGAAAATAATCGATAATTCCAAAATAATCGCCTAATCGAAAATAATCAATTAATTAAGAAGACGGTTCTATGATATATCGATTATTACCAATAATCTATTTTATTGTATTTCAAAAATATTCGATTAATTAAAAAGTCGATTAACTGACAAATCGATTTTCAAAAAAAACAGAATGATCGATTATTTTAAATAATCGATTATTTTCGATCAATCGATTATTATCAATAATCTATTTTTATTGTATTTCCTTTAAAATCGATAATTCGATTATCTTTGAAATATCAAAAATAATCAATAATTCCAAAATAATCGCCTAATCTAAAACAACCAATTAATTAAGAAGCCGATTCTATGATAAATCGATTTTCCAAAAAATAAAACGAATTATCTATTATTTTCATATAATATCTTTGAAAAATCGAAAATAATCAAATAATTAAAAAACCGATTAAACGATAAATCGATTATTTTGAATAAATCTACTTTTTTTGTATTTCCTTTAAAATCGATTAATACATTATTTAAAAAAAAAAACGAAAATAATTTATTCAAAACAGCGGATAAATCGATTTTCATTAAAAAATAGCAGAATTATCGATAAATCGATTATTTTTGTAACCCCTATCGGTCGCTTGCTTTTATCTGAGCATTTAGCTCCAAAATTTAGAGATTCGGATTTTTTGATCCAGTTATCTTTGAAATCGCATTCGCTTGTATAATAAATAAATATTGCTAAATTTTGGATTTTTTTTAGTAAACGAAAATTATGTTCGAGTTGTTTAGGAGTTTGTAATGTAACATTTTATTAACGTGACTAAGGGTCGATTCCACCGTTGTGTTAAACGAAGTTTAAAATGACATTTTTACATTAACACTGTCATTTTAATCTCCGTTTAACACAACGGTGGAATCGGACCTAACTCCTGTAACTTTAGTATTTTTTTTTTGCTTATACTAGATTACTTTGTTTTAAGACTGAAAATTCAATGTCACTTTCGATTTGACCGCAAATAAGATGAACCTTGAAATTTTAAGTAGGTCATCCTGTATTTCATCTAATATTCTTATAAAAATACCTTATAAAAATAAAATTTAGCTAGCAACTATGATTCTTTACCTCTTATTTATCTACCAAAAAGGGCTAAAAACTACCTTTAGAAAACATTCTTATAAAACTACTTTTTAATACAAAATTTCGTTAGCAATAATTCCTATTTACTATTTATTTAAATTAAATGTTCAAAATTTTACCCTTTTGTAAATTTATGTAAGTAATATGAAATCTGAGTTTGTGATGCTTAATATTTATTGAAACCCCTTAATGCGGATCTGAAGTATTCAGCCCAGAGAATCATGGCGCTTTATGTCAAAACGTTAATAAATATTTACCGCTGAAAACGAATATATTCATAACAGTAGTACTTGTATTATAAGTACATACACTTTTTCAAGATACATCGTGACATTTTGAACTTGAAATTGAATAACTAGAACACTTTAAATTGCTAAAATACCAACAAATAAATCAAAAAACAGCTGTCAATGGTGATTAAACTCAGGTGGAGGTGTGATCGCTGAATGGAAATCGGAGCAATTCGGGTGGCGTCGTGCAACAATGACTTTCAATTGGTGGGTTACTTTGGCTTAAAATAGACAACATGCGCAGTGTGCAATGTTACATCTTCGGTCTCTTTAATCTAAGGATTTTACTAAATTCGGTTTCACTAAAATCCGTACAGTGAATAATTGTAAACCTCTGTTTTGACCACGTAAAATACTCTGAAAAGGCGGCCTTAAGAGATCAAAAACTCACTACAAATGTTACATAACGTTTTTGCTGGATTGTGGAGTTGTTCTACGTAAAAAAAATTTATTGACAATTTTATACAATCAGCTTTTTCAAAAATAAAGATACCTACTTTACTCTTAAGCAAAATCATGTTTTCTGACAAACCTCGTATACGACTGACAAAATCGGATATTAGATGGTTGAACTTTAGGTTTTAGAGCATGCATAACTTTTTAGGAAGAAAAACTTTTTTCCTAAGATTATTAATAAAAAAAATGTTTTACGTAAACAGTTTACGGCATATCGTCGTTGTCTAGTTAAAATCTGCTATGTAGGTTTTAGCAAATTTTACAAGAGGCTGAAAAACTTAACAATGGGACCTACATCTCTTTACATAAAATATTTTATAATCTAAAATACTATATAATGCATAGAATATTATATTATAGGAAAATTTAACTAAGTTAAAATATGTAATGTACAGTAATATGTGACAAAATTTGTGACAAAATCCCACATATTGACTTAACAAATACGATATGGAAAAATTTTAACTCTCTCTCTCTCTAACGGGATAAAAACTTTTAAGTATTGTAAAGCGTGATACTTCATTTGAAAGCTAATTTCATTAGTAATTTAATGCGTAGCATAAATTTGCTATTTTGATTAGATTAAAGTTAAATTGATTTAATAAAACATAACTTAAATAAGCAGAAGAATGTTGCTATTAATGTTCGCCCTGTATTTGGGTACGTTATTGCTTTCTATTTGAGTACAACTTTGGTCGTTTCATTGTTGGTTTTTAATAAATTTAAGTTTTACTTTCGTGGATTTTATACATAAATCATTAAAATAATTTTTATTCAGGGCTGAAGTGGCAGAAGAAAGGCGTCCAAAAACCCCCACCGGCACCTACATTACCGTGTACGATAATTGTTTCCGGATACCAGGCTTCGAAGTTGATGACAAATTTTTCATGAAAGACGACGAATTGTACGGTCAATATCCACTGTATTCGGCTCCATCTCCTCCGACCACTGTGACTACGTTTAAATTAAAAAATGATGGTAGCGATTTAACACCGGGAATTACAGCCATTAAAGACAAGAATCAACCTTTTAAAAAATTTGCTGGTTTTTCGAAACCTATACATGAAAAACTTGACGGCAGCTGGTGAACCTGAGTTTGTAAAACCATCAAAGTATTTTTTTTTTATTATTTTATAAATATTTATAATTAAATATATTTAATTTTTGTGATTTGTTATTTATGTTTATTTTCTTAATAATTTTAAGGCTTAAATTAACCCGCATTTTTATTGTTCTCCACAGCATGAAGAGAACGTTCCCCCCTTTACATCACAAATGGAAGAATATGTCCGATAATAAATGACATTATATCTACTGCTAATAGACTAGTTTCAAAACAACCACACATTGAAATTGAGTATGATCAATAATGTAGAAACATAATTATTAGTTGTCAAAATTTGTTGGCGCAAAACAAATTAATTTTACAGTAAAAAGGAGTTATGGTGTAATAAAAAAAGAACTATATTCCCGATCTGTATAAAAATCTGTCCAAAAGTTTTCCTGGGGTTCACACAGGGAGATTTGTTACTCAAATGAGCCAACGTAAATTCAGAAAAAGAGACAGCGACTCTCAACTGAAAAAACGCAGAATTGCCGCGGCTAAAGATAGGGTTTGTGGGCTTCAGTACGATGATGATGTTAATGTTTTAGATCAAAAACATAGACATTTTCGAATAGTTTACTAAAATCAACAGATGATATTAGTAAAATTGAATTATCCACTAAAGTACAGGTTAGTAACGATCTTTAAATAGAATATCGAAATAATATGCTTACGGTTTCTAATTTCTGTACAAGTTTTTAAAACTAAGACGTCAGTTTGCATTTACCATATTAGAAGGGTATAGAAATATATTTATAATTTATTCTTGCTATTGAATCTTAGTGCAGTGATTTATTCAATGTATTTACCTACTTTTTATTAAATTTAGTAAATTAAATTCTACATTTTCTTTAGATTTTGAATTTCTTCCCTTTATAATTAATTCCTTATTATGACTATTTAACTGAAACATTTATCAGGAATCTTTTTCTTGATTGGTAGTAAATTTTTAAGTAATATTTTAATTTGTTCAAACATGTTTACCTTTTTATTAAATTCAGTCTTAAAAAGTTGACTTTGAACTATATTATCTAGTATTTGGTGTTTTTCTTTATATGGTTAAGTACCTGACTATTGCATAACTAATTGATTCTGAACCAACTTTAAATGATATTTTAATATAAGTAGTAAAAGTTTGTATATCTTTATTCAATTATAATTTGAGAATTTATGCTGTTAGCAATATCATTTGATACCTTTGTTTTCACTTTATGTTGAAAACAATTTAGTTGAGTATTGCAAAATTTTATATTTGGGTTAACTTTAGGTTAACAGATAACTTGCATTACTATACTTTTTACCTAACTTTACTACTTTGTATGTACCTTTGCTGATTTACACTGAGAAAAGTGACAGCTTACGAAGATGTTTCGAATACCTTATCTGATGTACTCACTAAAGTGTGTACATTATTTATCTTGATTTTAATAATTTATATTATATAAATATTATTATATATCTTTATTCACTAGTTAAGTGAATGTGTTATTTATCGTTTAATAATATTATTTGTACCTTTAGTACATAATGTACTAAGTTTTTTGAATATCAAGATATTTACCTTTGATTTGAAATGGTTCACCTTTACTTAGTTATGTTATATGCAAATATAGTTCAATGATTATGATTCTTTCTAGTTTACCTTACATTACCTTACCTACCTGCTACCTGCTCAGTTATTATCTACTATTGTTTTTAGTGTTCTCTTCTTTTCCTTTAATAAGAATTTATCTTTCCTTGATTGTGACATTAGTATGGTATAAGAGTGCAGATTTAAATTTAAAATCAATTTTTTCATTTTAATCAAAAATTTTTTAAACAATCACTTAAAGCTAAAGTATTAAATCTTCCTAGTTTAAGTTGTAAATATTTAGTCTTTAAGGGCTACAGTCAAAATTTAAAAATTGAAAAGATGACAATATGTAATATACAATCTTAGATTAAAGAAACCAGAGATGTAACATACACCGGTGTTTTACGGAGTGGGGAAACTGAGAGGAGACCCGATCTCTGTAACAGGGACGGACTTTCTTTATTACCATCATAATGAACTATTAGATTTACTTAAAAGATGTTTAATGGAATGTTGTATTATGAAATAAAATTAACGTGATTTTTAATGTCAAACAGATGCAACATTTTACCGGTCCCTAACGTCTACTTTCCGGTGTTGATCGGCAAAAGGTTATTTTCTGGACGAAAAATTGTTCAGAAAATAAAAAAGAAATAAAATCAATCCAGTTGTTATATTTACTATAAATTGACGCAGGTAAATTATGAAAAGAATTTAATTAGTAATTAAAAGAGTGGGCAAAAGAACAAAACATATTTTAACGTCAATGTCTTCTTAACTAAATTTTGTTACTTATCGGGTTTTTGCGCTGGACCCTCGTTAAATCGATATCTTTTACCTCTATATTTATTCCTATTGATATTGAAGTTTATAACGGTTGTAACCGTTTTCGTTATTTTGACACCAACATCTCTACACAAATGTCATTTATCGTTTATATCTTATGTCAAAAGGGTATTTTTTTTCGATCTATAATTGTCATCGAGCAAGTTGATTTATTGAATTTTAATTATCTTTTATCTTGGACATCCGATGTACTGGTTGTCTTTAATATTTTTAATGACCGTCTGATTTTAAAAAGCCTGGCTGTATCTAGATGGTTCTATAGAAGTTATATCGATGGTTTTGCAGAAGTTATATCGAAAGAGTTCGTTTAGAAGAATAGACACTTAGAAGTTTAGTTCCAGCTACAGAAGTTGATTTCCAGTATATCAAGAGGTTTAGTTCGAGTCATCTAAAGAAGTTTATGATATTTAAGTTTACCTATGAAGATTTATACTTAAGAGTCTCTCATATGAATCCTCTAGAAGAAGGCATCTACAGTCACTCCTAAAATACTACCTGTTATACCACAGATAAGTCTTCAATAAATCATTTAAATTTGAATAAGTAAGTCTCTGTCAGGTATCGGTAACTGGTATAGCCCGAGCTGAAACTATATTTTTGTTTCAAAGAACAGATTCTAGATGGCGCTGTACACAACAATTTACAGAAATCTACAATTGATGGTGGAAAGAGTGGGAGTGTCATTTGTCATTGTCAGACATCCATTATCGATTACCTCGCGGTGAATGACATTTGCCATTTTACCTGTATTTTTCGTGATTATCAATATCATATTGTCAATAATTATTATTTGTTTGTATTTGGGTGTGCTCTGGATCCTGGATGAATAAATAGTAAGTATTTTGTAAATAATTGTTTATTGTATTGTCAACTTGGTCTTGTTCAATTGTGTTTTAAATGTTCAATTTGTTTACTTGATCTTGCTGACGATTGAGCTTATTTTAAATTTTTGTGGTCATTTTTAGTTATAAAAGCTGTAATATATCGTATTGTTGTATGTTAAATTGTTTTGTAAACACTCTGAAATCCTAATAACGATTTATTTCAAATTTGAGTATTGGGTGTTCGCAGTCCATTTTTCAAGAATAAAACAACAAATTTGTAAAAACTATTTAGTATGTGATAAACATTTTGAAGATATGTTTAAAGTTCTTGGTGCACGCAGCGATCTAACTGTATTTTTATTTGTTCTAGTACAAACTTTTTCAAGCCGTTTGGAGTGGCAGTAGTATTGCATCGTTGAAGACAAAAACAGCCTAGTCAGGGAAGTAATAGTCACTGTACTTTTTGTATTCATGCCTCACATTTGATTTTTATATTGATTTAGTTCAGATTGTTACTTTTACCATTGTATTTAGATCAACTAGTAGAACAATACCAATGCAAATTATCTTGGAGGACAATGGACAGTATCAATAGATGGCAGCAAGCTCCGTGGTGTCCAAGTCATGTCTTTGATAATTTTGTTGTCTTCTACCAGGTTGTCGAAACTGAATAACGAACGTAACTTCTCTATTTACTAATAGATGGAACGATAATCGATTTAGAATATTGTTTTAAAAATGAGATATACGAGTTTAGTTATGCTTGACGAACATTTATTTACGATTTTTATCATTTTAGAGAATATGAACAATATTAATTTAAATTTGGCAGTTTGCCCAAATGAATTTAAAAATTAAGAAAACTTTATATATATAGAATTCTATACTCAATAATCGAGGCAGCGCTTAGCACACGAGCCATTTTGTTGAAGTTCTGTACAGTTCTAACAGATGTCGCAACAGAATTGCCTCCAATGAAACGTCCATAAGGTTGTATTACTATCTTATCTAAATACAATGCTTTTACTGTTTTTTTATTTGTTCTAGTACAAACTTTCTTCAAGCCGTTTGGAATGGCAATATCGGATTGTGGAAGACAAAATAGCCTAGTCCGGGAAGTAATGGTCAGTATACCTTTTTTTATTTATGCCTCACTGTCTGTGCTCCCCAACAGATTTGAAGGGTTCAGGAAAAAAAGGGGCCTAGTCACAATTACCAAAATGTTCAGAAAACCAAATTTAATTTAGACTGACTAAATACAAACTTTTGATACTTTAAGGTAATTGATTACAAAAAGATATTACTTTGTTTAAATGTTGCCTGATTATATTGTAGTTTACCACTTAATTTACCAGACAGTTGTAATTTTTTATTCTAAATACTGAAAATGACAAACAAACAGTAGGAAAGTCCTTGGACATAATTTTAAATGCACTGTTTTGCATTTGCTAATACTGGTATTTTACAAAATAGGGCGGACCAGTTCAATTTTGATAAAAATGTGGCTTAGCTGTTTTTTTCTTCCTGTACCCTTCTTGATTTATAAGTTGATTAATATTTTTTTTTTTTAGATAAAACTCTTCAATCTCTGTGGACAATGCCTTAACTTTCCAGCTAATTAACACGCTACATTTAATTATTCTATTTTGTATGTTTTTTTTTTGTTTTAATAAATTAATTTTGTTGATCATGCTTTTTAATTTTTTGTAAAAATATTTCAACTTGTAGTCAAGTTAGGATTGGTTCATACTACTCATTTTTTGCTTTATTGTAACAAATATAATTTTATTGCTACAATAAACGTAAAAAAGGAGTTGGTAT